AGTGAATGACACTTAATGACAGTTGTCATAAACATGCATAAAACCTCCTTCATATTCATGACATATGTCATGTCTTGATTATGAAGGTGTCATGTCAGTCTTATGCACACCCCTTCAAGCAAAGTGTTACCAAAAAAACAAACAAAAAACAAACACACATACGGCAGGTGAAGAACTGTGCATAAGGGAATGTCTCACCATAAGCTGAATTTCCCTCTTGCATACTTGAAGGTCATGTTCATTGTTGACATACATTCTCTTCAGTGCACAACGGATGCCCTGATGAGTCCTCACCAGAAATACGATAGCAAAACCACCTGTGGATAGAAAACCGACAGTGTGAAAATCTTTAAACAGTCGAGCTACTGAGCGCTCACATGCAGAGAAAGGCAAATCGATCTCATTTGTGACCCTGTACCACAAAACAAGCCTAAAGTGTCTTTTTTTTTAATTGAGATGTATACATCACCTGAAAGTCGAATAAATAAGCTTTCCATTGATGTATGATTTGTTAGGATAGGACAATATTTGGCCGAGATACAACTATTTGAATATCTGGAATCTGAGGGTGCAAAAAAAAAAATCAAAATATTGAGAAAATCGCCTTTAAAGTTATCCAAACGAAGTTCTTAGCAATGCATATTACTAATCAAAAATTAAGTTTTGATATATTTACGGTAGGAAATTTACAAAATATCTTCATGGAACATGATCTTTACTCAATATCCTAATGATTTTTGGCATAAAAGAAAAATCGATCATTTTGACCCATACAATGTATTTTTGGCTATTGCTACAAATATACCCCAGCGACTTAAGACTGCTTTTGTGCTCCAGGGTCACATTTGTGATTCAACTAATGTAACACAGTACCACAAGGAACACAGACAACCTTTGTCCAGGGAAATAAGGAGGTACTGGACACTGGTTCCCTTGTGCTATCAGACCAACCGTCAGTGGACAGTGGCACACAGTATATAATCATGTAATTGATAGGTTAAACTAATTTTAATAATGTTACGTCTGACAGTAAGAGTAAGTACAAGAACTCACAAAAAAACCCTTTGACTGTGGAAATGCAACTCCCTGAAAAAATGAAAATGCATTTGTGCCTAATGATGCCTAATGATTACAATAACTATTGCTCATACTTGGGGTTAGTCATTTAAACAAATCTCTAACTTACCGTATTAAAGTTCAACAAATAATCATCTCAGACTATTTGTGCTAGGAATGATACCTCAAATCCAGGAATCTCACTTTCCAGTAGGGCTGGGCGATATAGCTAAAAAATGTATCAACGATATAATGTTTCATACCGTTCGGTATCGATAATTATTGACATTTTTATAACCTTTTTTAAAACAAAGAGCAAAAGAAAAATGGTTTTACATTTAACCACTGTATTTTTAAAGTAACTCAATTTATTGAGACAAACAACAATTTTTTTGTTTGTTTTAACAATCAAACACAAAATAAAAATGAAACAAATATCCTATTTCTAATGTTTTATATGCAGATTAAATAGGTTAAGCTTGTTTCCCGAGGCCATAGGAGGGCAAAATGCGAAATGCAGCACATTAAATTGTCATCGCAAGGAAATAACTGTCTATAAAAAATGAGCATTACGTCTAAATTAACTCATATAAATCAAATATAATTTCGTAAATTGCATAAACAATTATGAACAAAACAGCATCATGTATTTATGCATTGCTTAATACAAAGAGCCGAATCGCCCATCACACAGATTGCCTTTAAAATCATATGAGACGCAGTGAAAAGGAATAAACCTCCACAAATTCGTGACGTGTTTTCTAAAAGTTTAAACTGTTTTAACTTTGCATGGCTTTCTATACATCTCTTGTGTGAGACGCGAGTGCAGCAGTCATATTTGTCCGTCTAGAAAATGCACTGAATATGCGTTCTGTGTGAATGGCTTTGTTTCGGTTTTAACCTAATCAAGATCATCTACGCATTGAGCTACTATATTTCTCTAATATTTTGAATGAATAACACAGCAACGGAGCGCAAAAACGTCACTTACATCATCACCACCGCATCTCGTGCTCCACTGATGACGTTCCCTGACGCACACCTAACATTCGATTGTACTATTTTTGCATTCAAATGCAAATGTTTATTTTAAATTCGATTAATATTCATTCTTTACTCACAATCTCCTCATCACAGGCAGGCACAGCACTCATGTTTGTGTTTGTGTGTGCTGTCTGCGTCACTCATAGCACGTGCCTATGTCGAACATTTTTTATATCGTTATCGAAGAAGGTGTACCGTCAATAAATATCAATACCATTTTATCGCCCAGGCCTACTTTCCAGACTGTACAACATAAAGTTATGCTGACACAGCAAAAGCTTGGTCTTCGGATTACGCAGCAGTGAGCTGGGAGGAAGCGTTATGAGGTTTAACAAAAGGTTTGTCAATCTCAGACATTGGGCATTGCGACCCAACTGAGCAAAGGGACTAGAAGAGCTCTGTCCAGACATCTGCACAGACTTAGGCCTCTTTGGGAAAATTGCTTGAAGCCTAGAAACCTGAAACTGTCGAAGTCCTAGTGAGAGTAACAATGAACTTTATTGTCTGAAAATAAATTGGCACAAACCAAATAAAAGTCTCATGTATCCAGACTTTTGATTTTGGGCTGGTCTGATGGTCCATGAATAGCCAATGTGTGCATACTGTGAAAGAATTTTATGAACTTGGTCACCTGTCTTTCCTAATAGCCTTTTTTTTGTGTTAAGCACACACTACATATGTTTTTGTAGTTGTAGTTGTGTGGGCCACTAATATCTTTTACAGAGCTTCATATAAACCTATCATGACACAAGCTGTTCAACCTACTGCCAAAAGCGGATTAAATCAAATGCTACATGAAACAGTATATGCACAGATACAGTACACAGATCCACATGCACTCTGATCCCTGCAGAGTCAGATTCGGTCTGTGTTCAGATAAACACACGGAAAAAGGCAATTACTTCAAAAACAACAAACCACGCCTGTGCCCTTGCAGCAACACACACACACACACACACACACACACACACAGACAGTGCCCTGCTGACACAGCAAAAGCTTGGTCTTCGGATTACGCAGCAGTGAGCTGGGAGGAAGCGTTATGAGGTTTAACAAAAGGTTTGTCAATCTCAGACATTGGGCATTGCGACCCAACTGAGCAAAGGGACTAGAAGAGCTCTGTCCAGACATCTGCACAGACTTAGGCCTCTTTGGGAAAATTGCTTGAAGCCTAGAAACCTGAAACTGTCGAAGTCCTAGTGAGAGTAACAATGAACTTTATTGTCTGAAAATAAATTGGCACAAACCAAATAAAAGTCTCATGTATCCAGACTTTTGATTTTGGGCTGGTCTGATGGTCCATGAATAGCCAATGTGTGCATACTGTGAAAGAATTTTATGAACTTGGTCACCTGTCTTTCCTAATAGCTTTTTTTTTGTGTTAAGCACACACTACATATGTTTTTGTAGTTGTAGTTGTGTGGGCCACTAATATCTTTTACAGAGCTTCATATAAACCTATCATGACACAAGCTGTTCAACCTACTGCCAAAAGCGGATTAAATCAAATGCTACATGAAACAGTATATGCACAGATACAGTACACAGATCCACATGCACTCTGATCCCTGCAGAGTCAGACTCGGTCTGTGTTCAGATAAACACACGGAAAAAGGCAATTACTTCAAAAACAACAAACCACGCCTGTGCCCTTGCAGCAACACACACACACACACACACACAGTGCCCTCGGATGAGGTGTGGTGTAGCAGTAAGTAAACGGAGAATGTGATTATGTAAGGATCTATAAATACCACCCCACTATCTTGTTTACAATGCTACTTACGAAGAATCTGTTAAGAGGCAGGACTGGGAAGCTTACTGTACTCAAAGCTGCATCATCTTAAATGAATACTTAATGTTAGACGCTTAAACATAACACGCGTTGACATGAGATGGCAAATGTATATCCAATCTTTTAACTTCTGCCATGTCGAGCGAGCTAAAAAAGTAAATCCGGTTACTTTCACAGAAGAAAGGGACATGGAATGGGAGTAACTCTGTACTTTACAGTAAACGCAGCCTAACAGACCTACAGAATCGGGTCATTTTTATAAATTCAGGACAATAAAAAGTCAAAACTACTCACTTCTCATAATGTATTTCTTTGTTACGGGTTTTTTTTTTTTTTACTTGGAAAAGTAAAAAAACTACTTGGAAAAGCTTGAAGCGATGTTTATAATATTGAGAAACACATAAATACAATATTCTATCGTTTCAATTGTTAACATTTACACCAATTTAAATAAAGGAGTGGAGTGTGTTCATATCAGTTTTTGCTGACATTGATATTATGCATTGTATGTATGCAATTCATAAATACAATGACTTTAACACACCTTGTGATGAGCATGTTACATTTCTGGATTAAACTTCATATGGATATTTTGGGGGGGCATAAAATGCATTTCATGAAAATGGTCTGACTAGAAGAATAAAATACAAAAAATACATGTAATGTGTTTTTGAATAAGTATAGGGCCCTATGAAATCCTTTTTTTTTTCCAAATTCCTTTTTAATTGTTCTGGACTCATAGTTAAATTAAATGTCATTAATCAAAAAGCATGTCTATTTAATTAAAATCATAAAACTTATATAATTTAACAACAACTTATTAAAAGTTTTTAAAAAATTACATGTTTAGGGCCCTATGAAATGTTTTATTTTTACTCACCTTATGTTTTATTGTTACCAATTCTGTGTTTTAGCATGTCTAATTATTTGAATGCATAAAACAACTTTTATTTATTCTAACAATAGCCTTTAAACAATAATTGTTTTTCCTCATTAATCTACACACAGCACCCCATATTGACAGAAAAACACAGAATTGTTGACATTTTTGCAGATTTATTAAAAAAGAAAAACTGAAATATCACATGGTCCTAAGTATTCAGACCCTCAGCAAAAATGTCAACAATTCTGTGTTTTTCTGTCAATATGGGGTGCTGTGTGTACATTAATGAGGAAAAAAAATTAACTTAAATGATTTTAGCAAATGGCTGCAATATAACAAAGAGTGAAAAATTTAAGGGGGTCTGAATACATACCGTACCCACTGTATATATATATATATATATACTTAGTTTGACATATTAGGAGTTGTGACTCGCAAAAGAGTTGCTATTTGAATTAATAACTCGTGATATTTTTTTTAAATAATGATTAAGATGGGTACACACTCATGCATTCAGCATGTGAGGAAAATGTCACAAC